CGGACGGCCATACATAGCTAGATCGACTCAGCTCGGCGAGATAGGAAGATCCATATATACTTTCCTATATGGGAAACCAATATTTCGTAGTGTTATATAATTTTTGGCCACTCAAACGTATAATACCCCAACACATAGTGTTGTACAGAGTAATCGTTAAAAAGTTAATAGGAAATATTAAATTAAAGAAAGAAAGTAATTTATGACTCTTTGTAAAAAAGTATGAAAGATTCCTAAAAAATTGAATATAATGAAGGAAAAATTATTTAAAATTAAACTAAACCAGAATCTTCTTTTGCAGGGGACGCTTAACGTATATGTTACTGATCGGCATAAAATTGTATACCGACTTCACAATGAAATGCCGAAAGAAATCTGGGCATAAAATTTAGCAAATAAATTTAAGTCTATTTAAAGATATCCGCCACTCTGTCTGTTGAAACCACGATACAGCCCACATTAGTTGTCGTAGAGCTTTAAAAGTTGTCAAATTTGTATTGTGTCTCGGTCCACGTAGTGGAATAACCCCCATATAAGGGAAAATTTCGCTATTGGGTAGTTTAAAGATTTTCGAAACATTTTTTACGAATTTGTCTTAAAATTGTTATCTGTAAGTCATAATGTGTCCGGTGGCGAAATATTGTATGTATAGGTCCACTTTTTGCATAGCTCCCAAATAACGGTACCTCCGACATGCGGTATTTTGATGATTTTTGTCACATTTTTCTAAAATTGGAATTTGTAGGACATAATAGTTTCTAGTTCCATCGGCAGAATATTTAGGTCCACGTTTTCCTATAGCGCACATTTAACGATACCTACCGATACTCGATATTTTGATAATTCTATTTCACATTTATCCACAAAATTGTTTCAAATTTGATATTTAACAAGCTTTGGTAGATGACAATTCTTGAAGTATAAAATTGTCTGTGGAGGTTCCCGTTTTGGTATGGGCCCCATATAACGGCCTCACTCACTTTATGGGTTTTTGAATAGTTTAACAGCATTATCCAAACGGTCATACTTTTTCAGATACTTTTATACAAAAATGTTTTCTTTGCCCAATGTTGGGGGGAGGTGTATTAAAAGTTCGGTCCGGCATTTTTTACTTGTTTAACACTATATCAGAATAGAAACCTATTATTTTGGAGATGATCGCAAAATATTTAAAAGTGGAAAGGGTACAAAAACCGAAACATTTATGATTTTGCATTGGCCACTCTTATAAACCAATCGACGCGAAAAAAGAAAATTTCAACTAAACCGCGAATATTTTTAATCCTGGCGGAGTTACAAAAACATTGAACGACCACTTCTGACCATTACAGAGATGCTAATAGTTATTTATATACCATATCGAATATATAGATAAATAGCTACAATGTATATGAAAATAAATTGATGTTAGTCATTCCGCTTACAAGTCAGGAACCTCTGAACTGATTTTGACAATTCTCACCAACTCAGAATGGCACCTTCCCAGAAAAGTATGAAATCTCAGAAAATCGCGTAAAAATAAAAAAGTGAATATTTTCTGTTATTTTTTTATTATTTGTCATACTTTTTTATCGAATGCGAGTTTTTTATTTTGTCTTACAATTTTAAATTGCACACTTTCTTCGTTTTTTACACCCTGCAACACTATCTGTTGCAGGGTTTCGATCCCCATGAAATTTCGTTAGGGTCAGAATAGAAGCTTATTGTTGTTGAAAATATACACTTCAAAGGGATAAAAAATTATAAATTTGCTGATTTTGCAGCAGGTCACAATTAAAAATCCATTGACACGGAATTTTACATGAGGATTGAGTTCAGAACAGGGCATAAGTCTAGCAGTTTGGATGACCATTGGTTTACATGAAGAGAACGTAAATGTAAGACAAATAACATTGTCTCAAAAACGAAATCTACCAAAATAGATATGGACCTAAGGGGGCTTCCGACATATTATAGTGTTGTACGGCCCCGCGTCTCTACAGTTGTCCTTACATGCAGGAAAATTCCAATAGATTATGCAAGTAGATCAGCAGTATCAGTCGGTTTTATTCGTTGTACCTCCAGCCTTGAGTTACGATTATTCTAACTGTTGACCCTTTATGGGGGTGGTCCTGACGCAGTTGTCCAATATTGTCCAATTCGATTAATGACATATTTACATCAGATTTCTGGTTAAGAGAAATATTTAGATATAGCAAGTTGTATATAATCTCCGACTTGTTTCGTAAGTTAGCACAGATATAAGCATTGACAGTTGTGAACCTTTGTGGTTGATGTACTAGAAAGGTTTGGCAGATATCTATCATATTTTCAACAGATTTTGCGTTAGCAAAAATGTTTGGATGTAGGAAATTTAAAAAGAGTTGGATATTTTGAACCCTCTGTGAGGAAGTACCAGAAGGGCTGAGCCGATATCTTATTTTCAGAGCTGATCTAATGTTAGTTAAAATAATGGCATGTGTGAAATTTGATGAAACCCTTATTATTATTTTGTGATCGCTTATTTTGGATTTTATGATCGTTTAGGTTATTCAAAATTTTGACTCTTTGTGGAGAAGGAATCAGAAGAAATGGTCCGACATATACCACCTTTATAACAGACCTTATGTTTATATAAATATTGAGATGTGCCAAGTCTGAATGGAATTGGATGTTAATTTTATGAGCTTCGTGGCTATTCAAAATTTTGACCCGTTGTGTGGGAGGTCCTAGAAGGAGTAGGTCAATATATTCCATCTTCACATTAGACATTTGGTTAATAAAAGTAATGTAATGTATGTAATTTAAAAACAATCGGACTCTTACATAACATTTTATAACAGCTATAATTATTCTAAATTTCTATCCTTTGTGGGTGAGGTACTTAATGGAGTCGCCCGATATTTTCCATTTTCAAAGCTGGCCTAGCTCTTTCTAAGAGGTAAATTATTTTCTTTGAAATTTTTGAGGTTCCAGAAGGTGTAGTCCGATATTACCCATTTCCGAACTTGAACTAAGTTTGTTATTAAAATTACCATGTACCAAGATTGGACCAGCTTGGATACTCAGTTCGAGAGTTATCGTGTGCACCAGCCAGGCAGACAGACGGACTGACGGACACCCATAGATCGACTCCAAATGTCTTAATACGCATTTTGTCCACCGAAAATTAGGATCTAATAGGGTTATTTCGATGAGGCACGTTTTGGCCCTATATAATTATATCTACGATCTCTAAAAAATCATCGGTTTTTAATGAAGTGGATGTTCCTATAATATCAAATTCTTAATTCGCTCTTTCAAAACGAGTAGAAATTTCACATTCAAAAATTTTTTCAAGCATATTCAACATTTTATTTTCATGAAATAATGCCACATAGTCCTGCAAAATTTTATGTTGTTTTTTTTCACCATAACTGCTAATTCATGCAAATCTTTGTTTTATTAGCTATTTATTTTCGAATTGTTTGGCGATTACAAAATCTACACAATTTTTAGGTTTTTGGTAACTTTGTAAGTAGGCTTCTATTCTGATTTTAACCCTAGCCTCATGTAAAAATTCGCGGAATTCGGACGATAATTTCGATCTAAATATATAAATATATATATATGCTATATCTTTGATAACAGCATCAATGTAATGGGCAGGAGTGGATTTTTTGTAATTGCGATTTCGTTGGAATAGAAAATATTCGCAGTTTAATGGAAATTTTTATGTTTTTTTTTTTTTTACCCTACAACTCGATGGGCCAAAAATTATGTAACACCTCGAAATATTGGTTTCCCACATAGGAAAGTATTTATGGATCGTTACATTGAAGCTCATATCCAAAATCTGGCATATATAGCAAAATATATACAATCTTATATATCAAAGAGGGGAATGCTGATTAGTCAAGAACCGCTGGACTAATTTTCACAATTCGGAATGGTCTCTAGCCAGATCAGCATCTAAGACAATCGCGGAAAAATATGGCAATAAAAAGTGACTATCTATTGTTACTTTTATTTCAATTTTTGTGATATTTTTATCGCATGCGATTTTCAATTTGAGTTACAATTTGGAATTGTACATTTTTAAAGTTTTTCTACACCCCCCAAACACTTTATGTTGAAGGTATTATGTAGCGGTCGCAATTTTCTTCCGATACAGACGAAATTTAGCATGGGGTAGCGTTATATGTTATGGTCTATATAACCTAAATAAATATTATTCCATGTCCATCCAAATTGGTAGAGTTCTACCCAGCCCTAAATTCTAGCCCCATGCAAAATTCCGAGTCGATTGCTCTATAGTTGTCCATTTCAACTCTTAAATATTTTTTTCCATCACATCTAAGAGCAATATACCTCTATTCTGACAAGGGGATATGCAAAATCATCAAAAATAGGGTCATAATTGCAACCTGTAGAGTGATTACAAATTAACATGGAAAGACGGACATACAAAGCTAGATCGAGTCCGCTCAGCGAGGTAGGAAGATCAATATTAAACATCCTATGTGCAAGAACAATATTTCGAGGAGTTACATAATTTTTGGCCCAATTAAACTTATAATACCCCAAACACAAAGTGATGTAGAGTGTGAATATCAATAAGCTTTGTTCGAGGAAATCCTTTGATTCTTGTGACTTAGAAAACTCCTGACCTTAACGATCTGGTTAAAGAAGCCAGAATGTTATTACTTAGAGAAACCCATTATTATTTTCTTCTCCAGATGGTTTAAAATTTTCTTATGTCAAAATAATTTTATTACCTTCATCATGGGTTACAGTTCCGATTATACGCGGTACTGGCAACCACAGCCATTTGAAAGTTTTCACATTTAAAATTGATTAATAATGCAATAGTAAATAAAAACGGTCATATAATACAAATTACATAGTTACATCTACACACCCATCCAACCGACCACCCACTTAGCTGCAGCTTGTTTGTAATATTTACGGCTTATTTGCGGCCAATAATAAATATAATTTCGCTACTATAAATGACATCCATTGTGTTGCACAAATAAGCAGTTTGCATTCTATAAAAATATCGCATATCGTTGCAGTAGGCTTCAGTTCTAAACCAGACATCGGACGGCAACAACAAACATTCATTGCGGTCGTCTTAATGCACATCGTTGGAATAAGTAGTAAAACGAAAATCGGAAAAAAAGACTTACGCGATTTAATTTGTTCACGTTAGCCAGAGCAAACAATCAATTTGAACGAGTAGGTGAAACGTGTTAACCACAGCGAAACAAGACCTCTGTTCTCCCGTCGTTCCTCCATCTTCCACCTGCACAAAACGTGCCATTCCAAATGGAACGTTGGCAAAATCGCGTAGCTGCCGTCACTGGTGCCAGTTCGGGCATTGGTGCTGCCATTGCCAAAGATCTGGTTAATGCTGGCCTGATTGTGGTCGGCTTGGCGCGTCGCACTCAACGTGTCGAGGAGATACGCTGCACTTTAGCCACAAATTTACAGACACGTTTACATGTCGTCAAATGTGATGTTTCCGATTTACAATCTGTCAATGAAGCTTTCGATTGGATCGAAAAGAATTTGGGTGGTGTGGATGTTCTTGTGAACAATGCCGGCACCTATACAGCCGGTCAGGTGCTGACCATGGACCTGGGCGAGGTGGAGAAAACATTACAAACCAATCTAATGGGAATTGTCTATTGCACACGGCGCGCCTACGCATCGATGCAGGAACGCAATATCAACGATGGTCATGTGGTGCTGATTAATAGCATTGTAGGTCACCATGTTTTCAATTTGCCACCTGGTGTGGTGGCCCAATTTAATATTTATCCCCCCTCGAAACATGCTGTAACAGGCTTGACGGAGGTATTGCGTCAAGAGTTCAGAGATTTGAAGACAAAAATCAAGATAACGGTATGAATGGGATTTCGGAACAAATTTCAATTTTAATTTTTGTGGTTTTCTGTTGTTTTCCAGAGCATAAGTCCTGGCCTGGTGGACACTGAAATAGTACCGGAAAATTATCAGGGATTACCCATGTTGAAACCCGAAGATATCTCAGCTGGAGTTATGTATGCCATTGGCACACCGCCTCATGTTCAAGTCCATGAGTTGACTATTAAACCAGTTGGCGAGACATTTTGAGGCCGTGTGTATGATTTGTGGTGTTGTGTAAATTAATATTCGAATATAGAATTACATTTGAATTGTAATATCAATGCTAACGAATATGTAAATACAAAAAGGTGTGTTCATTTTTTAAACACATGAGAGCGCACTGATAATTGAATATTTAAAAAATAATATGCAATCTAGCTTATAGTAAGGAAGATATGCGAATTTTTATACCCTACACCACAAGGTGGTCAGGGTATTATGTCTTTGTGCATTTGTGCAGTAACAGGCAAAAGGAAACGAGATAGACCCATAGTTCCTTTTGATGATCTGCATAGAATCACATTCTGAGTCGATTTATGTATGTCCGTCCGTACGTCTGTCCGTCCGTCTGTCCATGTATTTTTGTAAACAAAGTACAGGTCGCATTTATTGCCCGATCCGGATGAAATTTTGCACAGATTATTTGTTTGGCCCAAGGACGAACCCTATTGGAATTGGAGATAATCGGTCAAAATTTAGGTATAGCTCTCATATATATCTTCGTCCGATTTGCATTTTATTGTGCACCAAACGTGTAATATCAGCCCGAATAGTATGTAATTTTGCATATACACCCAAATTAGGCCTGAAAATATGTATGCCAAATTTGATCGAAATCGGTTCAGATATAGCTCCCATATATATTGTTCATCCGATTTGTTAGTTTTGTCCTCCGCAGCCGTAATTTGTACTCTGCAACAACAATATTTAGGGAAAAATATCAAATACAGCTCAGAAGTACACTTGCTAAATTTTATCAAGATCGGTTCAGATTTGGATATAGCTCCCATATATAACTTCGTCCGATTTACATTTTATTGTGCACCAAACGTCTAATATTTGTCCAAATGGGATGAAATTTCGCACTTACGACCGAATTGAGTCTAGAAGCTTCAAGTTTGGTGAAGATTGGTTCAGATATAGCTATAGCCCCCATAAATACTGTGTATCCGATTTGTTTTATTTGTTACCCACAGCCGTAATATGCACTCCCCAACAACGATATTCAGGGAAATATATCAAATACATCTCAGAAATATTTTTGCCAAATTTTATTGAGATCGGTTCCGATTTGGATATAGCTCCCATATATATCTTTATCTGATTTCAAATTAATTTTGCACCAAATGGGCAATACAAGTCCGAATTTGAAAGATAAAAATGCTTCGGCATATTTAGTTTTTTGAGCTTTAAATTATAATTTTAATCATAGCGTGTATGATTGAATTCTCCCATAACAAATTTTAATTGTTATGCGCAGCTCTACTAAATTAGCAAAGTGGTGTAGGGTATCATAAAGTAGGCCCGGACGACTTTAAGACTTTCTTTACTGGTTTTTAATTGTATTTGGGGTTTTTTCTCAACTCCGTACAAAATATTTCGAAGCCATCCATTAGTTCCTTTTGTTATTATTCCCTTTATAACAGCACCACCTGATTACAGAAATTTGAAATGTTTTGAATTTTTTTTCCATTGGAATTATCTTTTATTGTACCCAACAACACTATGTGTTGGGATTATAAGTTTGAATGGGACAACAATTATTGGTTCCCGACATAGAAAACCATATATGGATCTTCCTAGCTGAGTCGATCTAGCTATGCATGTCCGTTCGTCCGTATGTCCATCTGTCCATATTCATTTGTAATCACGCTACAGGTCGCGATTATGGCCCGATCCTCAAGGAATTCAAAATAAAGGTGGGATTAAAGTCAGAACAGAAGTCTATTGATTTTGGAGATGATAGAAAAAGAAGAACAGAAAAAATTCCTGATTTTGCTCTACAGGCCACAAAGCCTAGCAAGTTGGACGCTAGGTAAAATAAAGAACAACTTTTATTTAAAAAAAAATACGAAAATTTACACTAAATCGCGAATAGTTTTAATCCCGTCCAAATCACATATGCCTTTAAAGGTCACTTCTGACTATTACAGTGATGCTGATAGCCGAGATATAGGATATATAGGAAATATGCAATACAATATATATGTAAAAGAAATATATCTTAGTTATTCCGCTTATAAGTCAAAAACCGCTGGACTGATTTTCAAACTTCTAATCAACTCGGAATGGTTTTTGGCCAAAAAATTATAAACTCTAAGAAAATCGCGTAAAAATATACATATTTTATGTTACATTTTTTTCAATTTTTGTCATATTTTTATCGCATCCTCGCACCTTGCAACATTATGTGTTGAAGGTATTATATATTTTGCAATGAAAGCAGGATTAGTGTCAAAATAGAATCCTTTTGTCTTGAGATGTATATTTATGATCAAAAAATTAAAATTATCCTGACTGTGCAGTCGTTCTTAACGTCACAATAAAAAAACAAGTTAAAAAGCAGTAAGTTCGGGCCGGACCGAAATATGGACCAATTTATCATTTGGAACTAATTTGGAAATTTTCAAAAAATAAAATCCTTAAAAACTTCCTTTACAATTTTAAAAATATTGATATAGGGGTGCATACAACGTGCACCTACATGTTGTTCGTTATAAGCCATTACCATATTCAAATTCGAAAACGAAACGAAAAAAATCGGTGAATAATGTAGCTACAGTTATCGGGCGGTACCGTTATATCGGAGCTGTGCGAAGACCTGGACCAGCATTGACAATTTTCTGTCCCAGGCTGTAGCATCCATTACGAACTTCAAATACAACATCTCAAACAATTTCGGTGAGTATTGTACCTAAAATCGACAAAATACGGAATATAGGGAGGTACCGTTATATGAGGCTATACGAAGACGTGGACCTGCATAGACAATTTTCTGTTATAGGCTGTAGTATCCATTACGAACTTCAAATACCAAATTTGAAACAATTCCGGTTAATAATGTCGCTAAAATCATTAAAATATCGAATATAGGGAGGTACCGTTATATGGGGGCTATACGAAGTCGTGGACCTGCACAGACAATTTTCTGTCTTAGGCTGTAGTATCCATTTCGAACTTCTAATACCAAATTTGAAACAATTCCGGCTAATAATGTCGCTAAAATCATCAAAATACCGAATATCAGGAGTTACCGTTACATGCGGCTATATGAACTTAACCTGCCTACTGGAAAAATAAACATATGTGCAACATTTTAGCCTTCTATCTTAATTCGTTCGAAAGATAGCATAGATTACAACAGACGGACAGACAGGCAGCCAGACAGCCAGACGGACAGACAGCAGACGGACATCGCTAAATCGACTTAGAAATTTTCAAGAATATATATGTATATTGGGTCTGATATGAGTATTTCGAGGAGTTACAAACGGAATGACAAAGTTAATAGACCCTCAATAGTATGGTGGAGGGTATAAAAAAACTAATCGACAAAAAATTTTTTCATGAGGAGAGAAGTTCGGAATTTTTGAAATTGTTTTTGATGTGAAATTGAAAAATGGTATATTTGAGCTGTATCTGATATCTGGAACCAAATGTAATTGTTGTATGGTACATATCGGATGTAATGGACTTAAACACCAAGTCAAATCATCTGCTTTGATACAATTATTATTCCCTCAGCTATATGACTACTGAGGGTATGTATAATTTGATACGGCTGAAACTTGCCTCATCGAAATAACGGTTTAGGCCCTAGGTCTCTTTGGACCAAATCCGTTTCAGGACATTTAGAGTATCTAGGGGTGTCCGTTTGTCTGCCTGTCTGGGTGGTTCGCACAGTAATTGTCGAAGACAGTATCCAATTTGCTCATCAAAAACAAAAACGCTCATCGGAAATGTTTCAAATTTGGTATTTGAAGTTTGAAATGGATGCCTGAGACATAAAAATTGTCTGTGCAGGTCCATATCTTCGTATAGCCCCCATATAACGGTACCTCCGGATATTCGGCTCTTTGTTGATTTCAGGCTGTAGTATTCATTACGAACATCAAATTTGGTATTTGAAGTTCGTAATGAATACTACAGCCTAAGACAGAAAATTGTCTGTGCAGGTCCATATCTTCGTATAGCCCCCATATTACTGTACCTCCCGATACTCGGTACTTTGTTGATTTTAGCTACATTATTTACCGGAATTATTTCAAATTTTGTATTTGAAGTTCGTAATGGATACTACAGCCTATGCCAGTAAATTTTCTGTGCAGGTCCACGTTTTATGACCCCCATGGTACCTCCCTATATTCGGTATTTTAATGATTTTAGCTACATTATAATCAGATTTTTTTAAGTTTCGCATTTGAATATTGAAATGGCTTGTGACAAAAGTTGCCCATGCAAGTCCACGTGTTGGAAAGACTCTAATATACGGTTAGATTAGGTATTTTCAAGATTTTAACAGAATTTTTAACGGATTTTATTTTTTTGAAAATTTTTAAATTTGTACCAAATGGTGAAGGGTATTCAAAGTTCGGCACGGCCGAACTTACAGCTTTTTTACTTGTCACAATTCTAATCAATTCGGAATGGTTTTTGGCCAAAAAATTATAAAATCTGAGAAAATCGCATAAAAATATGCCAATAAAATGGTGACTATTTTATGTTTTTTTTTTAATTTTTTGTCGTATTTTGTATTGCATCCTCGCAACACTATGTGCAATTATCGCTCGAACCTTACGAAATTTTGCATGGAAGTAGGGTTAGGTTCAGAATAGAAGCATATTGTTTTGAGATGTACATTTATGGACCAACAAATTAAAATTATCCTGACTTTGCAGTCGCTCTTCACGTCTTTATATCTCTTTTATATTGATGGTAGAGATCGCACCATTCCTTCTAGTACCTCCCCCACAACAACGATTATAAAATTCGAAATAGGCATCCGGTTATCTTCACATTTCACACATTCGATTATGTCTACTAATGATGTGATGTGCTGGAAGATGGAATATATCGGTCCACTGTTTCTGGTCCCTCCCCCACAAGAGTTCCAAATTTCCCATTGTCCATGAAGTTCATAAAACGCGAAATTAACATTGGATTTCATTCAGAATTGGTACATCTCAATATTTCCATCAACACAAGTTCTGTTACAAATATGGTAGATATCGGACCAATGCTTGTGGCCGTCATCAATAATGATATGAAATCTTACACCTCTCCCATATAACATCCACTAATATGCTCCGTGCTCTCTATATAGTTAAACCAAAACAATTCATGTGAATTGAGCTAGTAAATAATGCTCAATCGTTATATAAAATTCGCCAAT